AATACTAAAGGTAACAAATATGGGAGAGGTGTTGATATCTCAAATAAAAAAGGAACAATCATGTTTGACAAGCTTTAAAATTAAGCGAATTATCTGCAAAGTGAGTTGAATTTGCCTTACGGAAATGAAAAAATATTTGCAAAAAAAGTGCAAATCATTTATCAAATATTCTTTATAAAAAACTGTTCGAGCTAATGTTAAAAAAAGGGGCTGTATTAGGGTTCACGGGTGTTACTTTTATAACATACACATTGTTATAATTTAATAGTCCTTTGTATTGATAAATGATTTTGTTAGAAAATAAGTAGTAAAGTTTTTTAAATGTCATAATAGTGTTGAAGTAGTAAATAATAATAGTAAAAATCGGATAAATAATATAAATTGGAATTTTTATTAAAACTTTTTAAAGTTATAGATTCAAGAGACCATAGTTAAATCACTGAACATCTATATTAATATTATTAATATAATACTTATACTCAATAAAGTATATTAAAACTCAGTATAGTTCTTTGTGCTTGGATTTAGTTTCAAAGTGTCAAGTTTCAATTTGTTTCAACATAATATTTACATGTCCACGTCTCAGCACCCGTAAAAATAGGCTTTAACATCCGCAAAATTGTGCTGCATGAGTGTTTTCACAAGAAGGGTTTTAAAAGTCCTCGATATTGTGAGACTAACTTGATTATTCATATTCTATAAGATATTTATTAAAATAAAAGATATTTAAAGATATATATATATCACATTTAAAAGATATAAAAAACTTAAAATCTATTAAGAATATATTATTTAATTTCTAAAAAAACTCCTGAAGTTTTCCTATTAAGCGTATCTATTGTACCTCACATTCCTTTTGACTAGTAACAGATTGCTAATAAAATTATCTATAACTCATAATTAGTATTAAATTGCTTAATGTTCATTTGTAACCCTGAAAATAAAGAAAAATTAAATGGCAAAAAAAACTTTGCACATTTCTTACATCTTTTGAATTCCAAAAGAGGGATGAGAATATAAAGTCACACTGTGACATTGCATTCATTCGAGTATTAGAAGCCATTTGTACCCAGTATATTACTTCGAGAATACCTGGGGTGTAATTATTTGCGTAATAACATAGAAGAGTACTAAACATACAAACAAACTGAAAATATTTACTGCCTTTGCGGTATAAGATAATCCTGCTTAATCCTTTTAGGTATATGGAGCAATGAACTTTTCATGTTACTTAATGGAAATCAAAATATTTGCGTTGATGTTAAGATTTTAAAGTGGATCAAGACATTAAAATCATTGAGACATTTTTTTATTTACTAAAATTTTAATATAAAATCGAGATAAGCGGAGTTACGGTAGTACACTGAGAAAAGGATATTCGCAAATAAATTGCAATGAAGTGTAAAAGCAGCTTACGTTTCTAAAAGGACTTAGGATACGATTTTAATTGATAATCTAAAAAAAAGTTCTTTACTGAAATTATCGGTTAATGTTCGATGGTAGTGATAATTTACTTAATACTTTTCACTATAACTATACTTTATTTCGTTTTGAACTTTGAAGACATTTTCATAATTACTAGAAGATTTTATTCAAAAAATTTTCAAACTTTTCTTTTACAGAAAAGAGAAAGATAATATTTAATAGCGAAATTAATACGATTTTTTGCTAATCATACAGCTATTTTAAGTATTGCCAAATATCCATAATCATTGGTCTTGGAATTATTTCTTATATTTAATTATTCGTAAATAATTTTTTGAGACTGCAAGTACCAAGTACTAGTCTCTATTTAATTAAATTAATATAAAAAAACGTTTGTTGTTGTAATTCATTACTTTTCGAGACCTCTCTATCAAATAAAATAGTTTCTATTAAGTAAAATAGTCACTTCTGTCATAACTGTCTATATCATGATAAAATAATTATTTTGCGTACATATATGCAAGCAAAATGAGTGAATTCTTGAGACTAGTTTGGATAAAAAAATAAGAGGCCTATATGAACCTATGGAATTCAGTCGTGAGAAACTTATTTTAGTATTATAATGAAGTTAATAAAGTTTTTTTTATTTATATATAAATTATTTAAAAATTTTGACATCCACCAAAATCCATCATCAAAATCTTTATTTTTTATAATTACACTATAAATTTATATATTAATAAAAATTTTTTATTTAAATTTTCAGGTTTAACATTTTTTTTTCATTCTGTACTACATATTTATTATTATTATATTACTATTTATTATTATTATATTACTACCTATTATTATTATATTACTGTATTTTTATTATAATACTATTTATTATTATTATATTACTATTTATTGTTATTATATTACTATTTATTGTTATTATATTACTATTTATTATTATTATATTTCTATTTATTATCATACACATCACTATTTATTATTATTATATTACTATTTATTATTATATTACTTTTTGATTATTATTATATTACTATTAATTATTATTATATCACTATTTTTTTATTGTACATATTACTATTTATTATTATTATACTACTATTTATTATATTTATATTAATATTTATTATTATTATTATACTTTATTCGCTTTTTATGTTTTATGTGTGTTTCTATTTAAGGTATTTTTGTTTTTTATTTTTAGTATTCAAATACTTATTTAATTAACTTTCTTTTTAAAGCAATTGACCCAACTTTCTATTATTAATAATTAATTTTTAATGTTGTTCATTTATTATTACAGATTTTAACAATGCTACTGTATTATTTAAAGGTAAGTGAATATTTTTGTTATTATTATATTATTATATACATAGGCTTTAGTGAACAAAATATTTAAAATTAACACATGAAGTTATAATGTTTAATATTTTTTTTAGAGTCGCTGAGGTTTCGAAGTTCTTTGACTTCTTAGCTTATTAACCAATCCGCCCTGAGGAAGTCAAAATAACTTTGAAAAATTAGCTACACTATAAAAAATATATTAATTATTATAACTAAGTTTTAAATTTATCAATAATAAAGGAACTTATATATATCTACAAATATGTAAGATATATGTAATTATATATATATATATATATATATATATATATATTACATAATTTCACTTCAAATCTATTAAACAGTATCTTTTCTATATACAATTTCAATTCCAAATACAATTTCGAAGGACGTTTACATACTCCTTTTTAAATGTCCTTATTACAAATGAAGTTTAATATAACAATTTGTTTCTAAAAGTTCCTTATCTAATCTAATGACTTTGTTATTAAAAGAAAATTATTATATAAGTTTTATTTTATATTCTTATATATATGGAAATATAGTTAATGGTTATTTTTTTATAAAGTATTGCAATAATTGTAATAAAGAAAATTTCCAGTGCAATGTTTATAGTTTACTTGGATCAAAAGATACATTTCTTAGATACATTGCTGTAGTTGGAACACTGCTTTTAATATAAAAAAATATTTTTTTATTTATCTTCTTCTAGTTTGTTTTATTTGTTACATAAATTTTGTTAGCGTTCATATACCGTTATTGGTAATATATATTTCGAGAGGAGACTCAGCATGATGTAAACAATTTTTTATATTTTCATTTGTGTGTCCCTAAAAAGTAAAAGTGATTTTAGGAAAAAAAACAATAATAGTTTTTTTTCTTTAAAAATATCACAGGTCAAACAGAGAAGCTATTGAATTATTGAGTGACGAAAGTGATTTATTTCAATTAAACCATCGCACACATAAGATAATGGTGGATAGTATCTTCTTTTCTTAGATAGTTTCTTAGTACAAAAATGATTCGGGATATCACAAATAACGGTAATTTGAAGAGTTTTTTCTTTAGTAATCAGACAAGATTAATTTTTAAATGTAATTTAATTTAATAATTTTTGTTTTTAAATAAATGAAAAATAATAAAAATAATTAGGATTTATCAAACTTTATAAGAATATTATTTTATGGATTTCATATGGACTCTGTAGGTAGAACTTTAATATCTCCCGCATCTATGAAATTGTGTAAGGAAGGATCCTGACAAAGAAATTATTAATCCAATGGGACTTGTTCATTGCAAGTGCTCGATGTTGTATTCGACTGTTTCTCTGTTTTTAGAGCTGTTAGCTATCATTTAACATTTGCTTATATATATGAATTAAGTTGATGCCTTCATAATTGATCCAGAATTGAATTTAGTAGTGCAGTTTATGTTCGGTAATTTTTTTTTTTCGAATACGTAGTAAGAGTATTATAAGGAACAAACAGTTCCTTACACACCACACTGACATTACAAACAGTTTTGGTGTTAGTTGGTCTAAAGACTAGTCGGAAGCGTCATCATAATATTGTTTATGGCATACATTTTATAGGTGGTTAAATTTTTAAAATAAATTAAGTCTTTATTTATTATTATGTACATACATATATGAGTTTAATTCAGTACCAAATTTTAAGGTATTTTAATTCATAATTGGTTTGAATTCAATTTATGAGGGCAATTCAATTGCGGTTTGACGTTTTTAATACATGACTTTATTACTTCACAAAATGATGTTGAGAATTTTATTTTTTATATTATATTTAATTTATATATAAAGTATAACTTTTTGTTTATTTCTAGTAGTTATGCTATATTATGAAAAATATATGTCAATGAGTGGCTTAAGCACTCTAAGTTTGAACTGATATATTCTCCCTGAACTACCGTTAACTGTTTCTTTGAAGGAATTTGTATGTTGGGTGACATTTTTAATGTACCACTTTATTGTTTTAGTAAAACATTTTTATTTGTTTTGAAAATAATTCTAAATTTTCTCAATCATAAGAATGTTTAAATCATTTTACACTATATATATAATTACTATATACTTTTAACTCCTAGGAGGAGCATAGGGTCGCACTCTATATGATATCAATAAATTATAAAAATTCTGTTTTTTGTTTATGTTTAAATATGTTTTAATGAAAAAAGAACTTGTGGAAAATGTGTTAACTAACCCAGGTTCGAGAGGTTGTTGTTGTCCATGCATTCCCATACCAGGTTGATGCTGATTTGACATTTTATTATATGGCACAGCGCACAAATCTTGTGTAGGCACCAACCAAGAATGTGTAAATGGACCAGCACCTACACCAGGCATTCCTAATGAGCCCATAGAAGTCATATGGCTGCCTGGATGACCAGGTGTAGGTTGACGCTGATAACCAGCGTAGTCCATTGCAACAGCTTGATAAGGTAACATGTTGATTGCAAATTCAATTTCTAATAGGTTCGATGTTTAACGTTATAAAGAATTTAATTAATTTGTAAGTAATTAATTAATAAATGAATTTTTTTTATTTTCGTAAAATATTTTGGCACATTTTGTTACAACGTTTTATATTTATTTTGACACTTAGAATTTTTTTTTAATGGAATTTTTAGTTGAGCACTTAAACTTATTTCAACTTTTTCGCAAAGCTTTTGTTTATTGAAAGGTCATTGAATCCTTTGATGCATTTGGCACACAACACACGCTTCACACACATTCACAATAGTTGGGGAGCGCCAGCAAATTATGCGTACGTGTGGATTATTCAGTTTATGTATCTTCGTCTAAAATATCTTACACTTGAAATGTGCATGCGTGAAGCAATTTTTAAACTATTTTAAAACACCAAAAAAATATATGTGTGTGAAATCGATAAACGTAGAATGGTGAATGGTGAATTTAAAACGCAAGTGTCCTGCTATGTTGTTTGGAAGACACAACGTAAATTAGCGATTTCAATTGAATCCTTCGGTTAGTACGCGACACTCGTGTACGTCCACTTTGAACGCGCCGTTACGTTACGTTTTTACGTTTCATGCAAAGATTCGCCTTGCATTACGACGTTCTGTTATTAAAGTTAGCAATTTTTTGATTTCATTTTGTAATCACATCAATACGAAGTATTCGGCACGTCTGTGACGAAATCAAGTACAACGCCACGTACATTAACGGTATAGAATCGAACTGTTGAAAATTAGTTCTCTGCACACGGACAAATACAAATGCTCGCAGTGAATACGCTGAGTTTCGTTCACGGTGCGCAAAAAGAATACACAAATTGTACACACCACACTGCTCGTATTAGATGAATAACAAAAACAATAACAAAGACTTGAAGCAACAAACACGGTGAAAATGTACGTCCGTAGCTGCCAACGAGTACGTGCAGAATAATTTAGACATGTTCATGTCCACAAACTTAACCAAAGTAAGGCAAAATAGCGGAGCAACGCAGAGTAACGCAGAAACAGGCATAGCAGCGCAACGCAGCGCAGCACAGCACAGCACAGTACGCAGTATACTACAAAAGAGCAGAGCAGAGCAGAGCAAACAAACATGCACACACATAAAATGCTAATGGTATACTCAATGTTTTTGTTGGGGGTGATAATATTTACTTTGTATTTTTTTTGTTTTTTTTTTTTTTTGATTTTTTAATGCCAGGATATAAAAGCAAGTAAAATTCTATTAAGAAAAAAATTAAAAAAAATGAAAAATAAAAAACAACTAAACAAAGACAAAGCTAAGAACGTGCGCTGTGCTGTAGTCACAGCATTTTGACTCCCACACATGCTTTACATATACGTCACACACATGCAAACATACACATGAAGTAACAGCAAGGATTTAGAATATTGTGTGCACCTGACTTTCGACTTGGTCATGTACTTGTCTCACCAGTAGCATTTTAAGCAGCCTCACGCATTCGCTCCAAATTCATTGTTTGTTGCTTCGTTTCGTTTCTCTTCGTTTTGCTGCTGTGTATTGTAAACTCATTGTACTGCACTAGTATTTGGCGTTTTGCTCTCTTGCGAGTATAAATGGGCGGGACGTGACTGCCGTTGGGTTATTATTGTAGTGTGTGTATATATATGCAGAACATTCATCGAATCGGAATCGACATAGCACGCATACATAATGAGTCTGATTTTGTAGTTGCAATGTTGTGTACAGTGAGTATGAGTATTTTTTGCTTTGCTCTGGCATCTGCTTCCTCATTATTTTTTGTTTGTAGTTGAAGTGTACGTGCGAACGGCATTTCCCATAAAACAAGCAACAACAAAATATAGCGAACTGGTTTGGAATGTCTCTTGCTAGTTGTTTGTTGTTTTTAATATTGTCATTTCATTCAGTTTAATGGTATCGTATTTATATTCCCGTTTAGTCTATCCCATTTACACTCAGTGTAAATATGTTTTGAACTTAAATTTACCACGCCTGAACTTTGTAGTTGTACTTTGTATATAAACGTTTTGTTGCTTTGTAGTCTGATTTTTTTAGTTCATAGTCGTGTGCAACAATTAGTTAGCTTCTTTTTACATTTGGGAATTACAAGCAAAAATATGAAATAATTTTTTGTCTCTGTTTTTATTGTTGTGGTTTATCTGTTTATAGCTGCATGTTTACACGTACGAGAGTATTTTGTTGTTGGTGTCATTTTGTTTTATGTGTTGGTATGTGACTGAAATATAAATGGCAAATACTAGGGCGTGAGCTACAGATTTTGTATTTTAACAAGTGAACAGGTACATTTGACAGGTAAAATTTCACAAATATGTATTGTATATAATGCGGTGGGAGTTTTTGGATTATTTAAAAAAAAAAATAAAGAATATTATTTTATATTAATATAAATATATATATTCTTATTGACCATATATTGTGCTTATTTAACAATCCTTAAATAATTAGCATATGTATATGATTTATGCTGTATATATTTATGTATATATTTATGTACACATTTATCTAATAATATATTTATATAGTATTAAATTATTCTTTGTCTTTAAAATTGAAGCCAGAAAGTTTAAGCGATTGTAAAATTATAAATTTTACAATTATAACTTAAAACGTATTAAAAGATATTAAAAAAAATTGAACAAAAAAAAAAATTAGAATAAAAAAATCCTGAACCAAAAAAAAAATTGAACAAAAAAAAACATGAGGGGATAAAAAAAATATAGAACAAAAACAAATTATTTTATTTTATTTTTTATATTATAAGTAAAAGAATTTTGCTCTTAAATTTTATTTATTATTATTATTATTATTTATTTTATTTAATAATTTCTTTTAAATAAATTTGTTTTTAATTTATGTATATATGTACATAGCTTTTTGTTTATATAATTGTTCACAATAAATTGTAATAGATCTATAATTTGTTCAATATCTATAGCCTCTATCTACTCTTCTCTACATTGCTTACTGTCACGTTTGTTTCCTCTTTCTAACTTGTGTGCTGATAATAATTAGAAGCGAATTAACTAGTCTTTTGCAGCTTACCAATAATAGTAATAACAAAATAATAAAACTATCTAAAGGATAAAGTAGAACGTTACTATAGAGACTAGCTTTTATCTACTTTCATTCAGCGTATATAGATCATTATACTTAAAAACAATAAAAACTTAAAAGAAAAAAAAAAAAAAAAAAAAACAAAAAACCAAATCCAAACCCCCGATTGACGGCGAATGCCATAATCGTATAAGGATAAATTAGATACTATGTAAATGAAGTTAGGTTTTTCTTATTATTTTTCTTATAATTATTTATAATATTTATGTTTTATATATTATAAATTATTGAAAATGTTAATTTTGTAAATGTAAATATAACCTATATTTAATAAAAAAGAATACTACTACTACTACTTAAAAACAAAAACTAAATAATTATTTATTTCGTTAATTTCATTGACTCTCAGAAACTAAAGTTCTTAGAAAAGCAGGGAAAGTCAGTTTGTTGAAGAAACTATTATATATCTATATGTCTATTATTTTTTGGAAGGATTCATTAAATTAGTGTCTCTTTACCGAAGAAAAAATAATTTAATATTTTTAAGGAATCTACATTAGTCAATATTTGGTGTTTATTTCACAATCGAGAAATATAATATGATTTTGATATACGAGCCTGGAGATCAGACCAAGAATTATCATTGCCAATAGGTGCTACTATGGACTCAGTAGCAATTGAGATGTATAACTATCTCTCTCGACAGATAAAACTTACGCTTTGATGAGACATCGTCTCACCTGTGCTTCTGTAAGACGCAGAAGCGTGGACGATTTCATAGATTGATCAGCTCAGGGAAAAGTTTTCGAAAGACAAGGTTTTTGTAATGTCTTTGGTGCTCTATTAGTTGGCGACGACCACCGTATTCAAATGAAACATAAGCTGTACGAGCTTTATTATGGCGTTGACATAATTCAGCGAATTAACATTTTGCGGCTTGTAATGTCTAGGTATTTGAAGGGGTTTGTGGGGGGAAGAAGATTAAGAGATAGACCGTAACTCCGAAGTGATGGATTATTATTTATTATTATTATAATACTTGTGCTCGAACATTAGATGTCCGTGACACTTCGTCAATAATTGAGCTATTTTATATTGCTATATTCGTAATTACTGAAAAATTTTTTTCACTTCAATTATACCTAGAGAAGCCTTAATATATTGAGTGATATTCAACCACTTTTATAAATGTGTCAATTCTTTGTGGGAAATTCTTCTATTCTGTAGTATAGTAACAGGACATTATTCTAGCTGATTCCATAATGTTACTATAATTGATGGACAGTATTAATGCTAATTTTATAAAAAATATTATTAAACATGTGTTCCTCTGTTATTAATTGTTATATTATTGTTTTCATAGTGTATATTTACTCAGTCAAAATACGTATTCCAACTACAAAATATATCCGATATCAATATAGTAAGTCATTTTTTTATTTTAGAACTGTTCCTCTACATGTTAGCGTCATGAAAACTAGTTTTTTAGTTATCAAGTTAAATAAAATACAAAAATTTAGGATTTGCCCGGATTTTTAACAGAATTTATATTTTAAAAGGATGTGTAATTCACGGTCAAAGGTTGTCATTTTATGAAAGTTTTAGATATACCTTAAAACTAACTATAGATCTAAAAGTATACTTTTTAAATAACATTATTCTTTCAAAATCGATAGCCATTTTATATTTACCATAAAAAGATAAAAGTTCTTACCAAAATTAAAAATACATTCAATTATAAAGATCTGTCTATAACCAAATTTCGGACAGAGAGTTGATTATACTGAAATTTTGAATTTATTTCATATTTTAAATAACTAAAACCATTTCTATTTGTAGCGTACTAAGAGCATATGGAGTTCACAATGAAAATGTTTTTTATGGGCCCGTACTTATATGAGAGGTAGAATGTATCGTGTATAAGCATTTTGTATTT